ATTAGAAGGTACATTGAGGGGAGAGAAGGATGTCTACACTGCCTCCTTTACAGTCGAGTCTGGGAGTGTGGGAGAATTGAAGCAGGAGTAGTGGTATCAGAGGGGGACAGCCAGGTCTCAGGGAGTGCCAATATTGTAAGTGAGTTAGAGATGACAAGGTTGTGTATAGCTGTTGATTTAATATTACTACAGATTGAACAGGCGTTCCAGAGTGCACACTGAATGTTGGTAAAGGAGGATAAACTGCAGGGTATATGGATGAGGTTTGTAGGATTTCCTGTTGTCTTACTGTGAGCAGACAAGCTGAAGGGCCCCTGGGTTGGGTGAAACATCACCAGCTGCTAGAAGTAGGAGGAGATAGTGACAGGAGGTTTGAATGGGTTTTATATGGGCAGGGTCTAGGATGAGATTGGGTTAGAGCAGGAGAGGATAGAGAAATAAGTGCAGGGCTTGAGATGAAAGAAGGGGGGAGTGAAGCAGAGAGGGATTAATGTTAATTTGATTGTGTTGTTGAGGGAAGTGGGTGTAATGAGATATTTTGATGCTAAGGGAGATGAGCGAAAAGGAGAAGATAGAGCATTGCTCCTATGAGTAGGCACTTTGAGGAAAGCAAAATGAGCAGAAGTAAGGAGAGTGATGACTGAGTGTTAGGGGTTAAGGGAATGAAGGAGTTTGCTGATTACTGGCAATGTTTGCAGCTGTCATTTCTCATCATCTAAAGTTGTGTGTGAGATTCTTTCTATAAATGTAGTAAGGTATTATTGTCACAGCTTTTAAAATGGGAGGAAACAATATGATTTTCATCGCCTTTAAAAATGTTTTACATGCTCAACCTAAGCATAAAGGGCTTTTGTAGTTCTCCCTATATACCGTACACCACATGGGAATTCTATTAAATAAATTACGTTCTTTGAGTAACATGGTATAAAAATCTGTAAAATCATGTGTGCTTCACAGAGTTAAAAACTTTAAAATGCGTCTATGGTTATCTGTTCTCTTGCATACAGCAACAATAAAATCCACTATTTTTGTTTAAAGAGAATGATCGTTTTTCTATATTTCTTAGGTAAGTTTTTACTAATAAGCTCTTGATGTTTCTAACTCCTCTGTGAATAACAGTAGGTTGGTCTGGTAAAACTTTTGATAGATTGGATCTTGTAAAATGTTATACTATGTAATAGTCTTTTCCTTGGGAATTGTCCATTTGGTAAATTTTCAAGGCAGGTAGAATAATGACCACTATCTCTTTTATTGAAGCTGTTCGCATCCACTGGCACTGGTTAACACTGGTATAACACTTATTTTTTGTTCCATATACTATTTAGTTCAATACTCATGTATTGTCATTTAAAAAGAAAAGGAAACATTTCAAATCTTCTTTTCCTTTCCTTATAAACAAAATATCATCTACATACCGGCCTTGGAGACAAAGTTATGCACCCAGTCTTGTTGGTTATAAATAAAAGATTCTTCCCAATGTTCCATAAACAGATTAGCATAACTGGGTGTAAACTAGCTCCCCAGGTCTCTACCTTTAAGCTAAATTAAAAAAAAAATCAGCAAACCAAAAAAACTGTAATTTTACTAACCATAAATTCTATTTTCCTTAGTATTTTGACAGTACTTAACAAGTGGGTAGTAACCGCCTTTGAATAGACAAGAAGCTCTGAAATAATAAATAAATTAAAATAATTCACGTCTACTTACATATAATTCTCCATTCCCCCAAAACATCCCCAGTTATGTAAAGAACCATACGGGGACCAAATACTACAAATTAATTTATTATCCAAAATGGGAGGGAAAAACAGCACTGCCATTATACTTTATATAATTATACTTACATTCTTTGTTTTCAATGTACATTGACGATAATGCAAGTAAACTGTAACAGTGTACAAATGTTTACAATAGTGGGGGATAGGTAATTGTGATCATTCTCACTAGGGTAACCAGGTCATGTGGGTGGAATCTATACTAGTGCATCAATTATGTTGTGACATCGTTCATAGTAAAGGTGTGCAGGTGGTGTATAAATTGCAGATACCGGTATTACAGACAGGTAGCCCGTGACATCTGGCATTGCAGGGTTAAGGACCGGTGGTTAGACTCTTTCAGTTGGGTATGGAGTACGATCATGAGGGGGTGGAGGTGAGATCGCAGGTACCTAGTGCTATACTGCGCTGCCGCTTTTCGCTATTAGGGAGCACCCCCAGGCCCAGGCTTATGCCCCATACGTAAGTGTAACCCTGGGGGCCAAATGCATTATTTAATCTTTCTTGCCCTAAGAGTCCATTTGGGTCTTCCGGACTGGGTCAGTCATATAGGCACACCCCACAGTGAAAGTGATTGGGCAGTAAGGTCCGGAGCAGGCTCTGTGGTATTGCCCCAGGTGGTATTGGATGAGCCAGAGGCAAGGGGGGTATCCCCGGACCCTGTGTCCTGCCTGTGGTGTGATAATCTACGTAGGTATTGTACGCTTCAGTAGTGCAGTCTCGTGTGCGGGATCAGGGTCCCCCCTATCCATGTGCGTATGTTTCCTTGAGCGTGCCCCTAGCACCTCCACCACACTGAGGTGTATGCAAGCATCATGGTGCCAAAAGCTGGGCATCTCTCCGTTGGTGTGTCTGTGTGGGATGAGGATGCCCTGCGGCCCCAATGTTCCCCTCCCACCCGTTCTCCATTTGCTCATCGTGTCGTTTGGGGGTAGTGTTCCACTCTACTGTTCCGGTCCCTGGCGGTGGTGATTCCAATGTGTCGTGGTCATAGTGTCAGGGCACGCGGGTTGTCACGTCTGTGTGAGTGTGTGTGCGGAACTGGGTCTGCCTTCTCTTGTCGGTCCGTGACTTGTGGTAAGAGAGAGAAGAGGCAGAGAGAGTGGAGGAAAGGAGGGTCCTAGCAAGCGGAGGAAAAGGGTGAGAGGAAAAGGGAAAAAAAAGGGGGGGAGGAGGTGAAGGAAGTTCTGTGTCACCGTGGTGAGAAGGCCACTGCCCCCCTATGTGGCTCCACTCCTGGGTCCTGGCCTGGCTCGCACTTCCCGCGCTGGCACCCCTTCCGCTCGGCTGGCCACATATGTGATCCAGGTAGCTCAGAGGCGGGTTCAGCGCTCTTGCGATCCACGTAATTCTACCGTAAGGGTTTTGCATAGATCTCCTCAACCTTTTCCGTCCATTGTAAGATGGTGGGGTTATCTTTCGATTTCCATCTGTCAGGGATTAAGCTTTTGGCGGTATTAAGGAAGTGTCTCGTGAGGGATATCTGTGTGTGGTTGAGGAGCATGGGGAGGGATTCCAGGGGAGTATCAGAGTCCATGATTTCATGAGCTTGTTATGAATCTGTCGCCAGAAGGCTGCAATCGGTGGGCACGACCACCATATGTGGAGGTCCGAGCCCTTTGCAGACTCACAGCGCCAGCACATGCCGTTCGGTATGAATTCCATGATATGTAGCCTGGCCGGGGTCCTATACCAGTAAGTCAGGATTTTGTAGTTAAGTCGTCAGTGTTGGTGGTATGATCCCCACCTTGGATATACTTGGAGTCACACGAAGATAAAAGGAAGACCGGTTAAAAATTCCAAATAAAAAAAGTGTATTAACAAGATGATTGGCACAAAATTGTAACCAAAAAAACCTTTTATTTAAAAAAAATACACAATCAAAATAACCATAACGCGTTTCACAACTAGGGCTTTATTAAATGGGTAAGGGCGGGGGGAGGAGGAATGGGAGTGAGCGGTGTAGGAATAGCGGGTAAGAGAAGAGAGTAGAGCACGGAAACTGAGGGGTCCGTGCAGAATGCGAGATCAGTCGTTGGGAGAGGGATAAATGTTCCCTCTCTCAAGGTCGGTCTACAGTTGTGGTTAAGTTGAACAGTAAAACTATGTACACAGCCAGACTTGACTGTCTGGGGGGGTGAGTCAGCAGGGAGTGTCCCATCCCATTAAATAAGTTCCTCACCGTCACCCCAACCTATGCTATGTTATCCCACAGTCTGTCTACGGACCGTGTGCGGTCCAGCGTGCTGGTTGGTGAAAGGAGAAGGTGTGTCAGTAGACATATCCCAGAGTGTTCTTATCACTTGTCCACCTGGGTCAACAACCCCCTCCCCCCCGGGCCCTCAGTATCTATACAGCGTCATTTTCCGTGGGAAAAAGCCAGGTCTGTGATGGGACAGGTCCATCTCCGCCCCTGGGTTTCCAGACTCAGTGGCTTTGGTAGGTAGCTATAGTTGTGGGTTCTCTTCAGGTGTACTATGGGGACCAGCCCACCTCCCTTGTGTGCCCCTCATCTCTAGCCTCCCATCCAGGTACCTTCAGCAAGATTTCCATGCCCCCCTCCAGCCCCCTGGCAGGGAATGATCAGCCCAGGCAGCACAGGTCACTCAGACCCTGATCCAGTGTCCAGCAACAGTCTTGCGCTCCCCAGGATCTCTCCCCCCCAAGATGTCCAGGCTTCCTGCATCCCACCCAATACTCAGGGCAATCTTGGTGTCTACCTTTCCCTATGCTAACCTGGGCAAGTGTAATTGGGAGCAGGGAGAGCGAGCACTGATGGCCTGAGCGGCCAGGCAGTCCCGGAGGCCACCTCGTCTTCAGCACCCTTGTCACCCAGGAGGGAGGATCACCTTTGTGTAAGGGCTGAGTCCCCATGTCAAAGGTGAGCTTACTTTTGCCACCCTCCCCACCTGAACTTTTCTGGTCCCCATAAGGGCAGGTACAGACCAGACCCCGGCAAGATCCCGGTACCTTGTGGCCTGGCTACCCACCAGGCCGCTTTCTCACCTCCATCTCGGCTAACTCTTCAACCCCTCCTGGGCCCCCCCACATCCGCGGTGCGTGTGTTCCCTCTCTCAAGGTTGCCTGCAGCCGGTCCCTTCTGTTGGTGTCCTGCCAAGGGGCCAGGGGGGTGTCCAGGAGCCAGTTGCAGATGCGGAGACTTGGCAGATGGAGGGTCCTGGGGACATAATTCCCGTACATAATCTTTGTCCCACAGGGCCGCCGTCAAGGGCCAGAGAGCCCGTCTAGGCCCGACAGATTCTGGTATAGGGCTACCTTGACTCCTTGGAACGTGATGCTTGCCGAGCCTCGTGCAGCCGCCATCAGTCGTTCTTTCATGGTGTATGCGTGCGGGAAGCACAGGATGTCACGAGGCATACCATCTGGCTGCTGCGGTTCCAGTTCCCAATGTATCTGGTCGAACTGGATCTCTTCAGGGCACTCCCAGCCCAGGATCTGCTGGAAGAGAGCCCTGAGTGTCTCAGTCAGAGGGGCCATGTCGGGTTCCAGTAGGCCCCGGATCCGGATATTTTGGCGATGATTTTGGTTCTCCAGATCCTCTACCTGGTGCCATAGGGAGAGCAGCAAGTTCCCCTGTTGGGTAGTTGCAAGTTCTGCTGCTTGGTGTGGCATGCAGCTAGCCTGAGCCTCTGTTTCAATTGACTCCACTCTCACCTCCACCGCCGACAGGTCAGCATGCAGGGTCGAGATCTCCTCCTTGATGGCCGCCCAGAACTCCTGCAGGAGGCCTCCAGTGTTAGCTTTGGTGAGCATATGTTCGGATATCATGGCCAGTTCTTGCCTGATCTGTGCCAGGGTGTCATCCTGCGCGCTGTCCTGAAGTGGGCTTCCCGCGCTTTCCTGGCTCGGGGACTCGGGCGCCATTTTGTCAGGCTACCCGGAGCTGCCGTGTGCACCCGGGGTGGATACAAAATTATCCAGCCAGTTTGGCAACGCGGAGAGCCGCTCAGGGAATGGGTCTTCTTATTTCGGACCATTTTGGGGGGAAAAGTCACTCAATTATTGCTATTAATGGTCAGGGGTGAGGAGCTCAGTCTCTACACATCCTGTAGCATGCTCGGTCCAGCCACGCCCCCCTAGGAAAATAGAATTTACGGTTAGTAAAATTACTGGTTTCCTGTCTTTAGTGGCAGCTATTAAAAAATTGGATATAGCAAGACCACCCCAACAAACAAACAGGGTTGGACGTCAGTAGGACTTTGAAGCACCTTGCACCCAAAAGCATCTTCAGTGGAGAAGAACATGTTCGGCCTGTAATGCTTTATGAAAGTATGAAAAGAAGACCATGTAGCAGCTCTACATATATCATGCCAAAAATCTTTCAGCCCATGATGTTTCCATTGCCTTGGTGGAATAAGCATTGACTGGAAATGTTAGGGAGAGATTACTGAACTTTTTTCCTCAGTAAGCCATCTGGCAATAGTAGGTCTAGAAACTTCTCTTCCCTTAAAATTGACAAAGCGATGATCCAATTTTCTGAATGGAGCGGATCAGTGTAGAAACATTTCTAAAGCCCTCTTGACATCCAGGAAATGCCATTCCTTTTCAGAGTCAGATGATTGAGCTTGGCAGAAGTACGGAAGGATGATATGTTCAATAATTAGTTTGATTAGTTTGCCTGGAAAGTACTTTAGGTAGAAAAATTTTCAGATGCAAGACCACTTTATCCTGATGGAAAACTGTAAAATCAGAGGATGATGAAAGTGCTTGTAATTCTCCAATCAGTCTTACAGAGGTAATTGCTACCAAAGACGCAGTTTAAAGAGATATTTTCAATGGAATTTAATTTATTGGTTCAAAGGGGGCACTGCACATTGCCTTAAGAACCATAGTAAAATCCTATGTAGGAAACAAAGACAGCCGAGGAGGCCACTTAAGAAAAACAGCCAATGTTCTACCCAAGAACAAGAATATTCATCTTTTTGAAGACTAATCTATTGTGAGGAACCGTATCAAATGCCTTGGCAAATAGATCACATCCACTGCAACACTCTGATCTATACTTCGACTTCTTCGTAGTATGCAATTAGGTTAGTTTGACATGACCTATGTTTCATAAAACCATGCTGAATATTGCTAATAACTAAGTTCTTCCCAATGAATTCCTGAATATTATCCCTTAATAGCCCTTCAAATATTTTCCCAGTCACAGAAGTTAAGCTCACAGGTCTATAATTTCCAGGCTAGGATTTTGAACCCTTTTTAAATATAGGAATGACATCTGCCTTCCACTGGTACAATACCTGAAACAAAAGAATCTTGAAAAATTAAATACAGAGGTTCACTTATTTCCTCACTTAGTTCCTTAAAGGACCACTATAGTGCCAGGAAAACATACTTGTTTTTCTGGCACTATAGTGCCCTGAGGGTGCCCCCACCCTCAGGGACCCCCTCCCGCCCAGCTCTGGAAGGGGGAAAGGGGTAAAAACTTACCTTTTTCCAGTGCAGGGCGGGGAGCTCTCCTCCTCCGATCCTCCTTCTCTCCTCCCCGTCGGCTGAATGCGCACGCGCGGCAAGAGCTAAGCGCGCATTCAGCCGGTCACATAGGAAAGCATTCATAATGCTTTCCTATGGATGCTGGCGTGCTCTCACTGTGAAAATCACAGTGAGAAGCACGCAAGCGCCTCTAGTGGCTGTCCATGAGACAGCCGCTAGAGGAAATAGGGGAAGGCTTAACCCATTGATAAACATAGCAGTTTCTCTGAAACTGCTATGTTTATGAAAAAATGGGTTAACCCCAGCTGGACCAGGCACCCAGACCACTTCATTAAGCTGAAGTGGTCTGGGTGCCTAGAGTGGTCCTTTAGGTACTCATGGATAGATACCGTCAGGCCCTGGAACTTTGTTTATATTAACTTTCTTTAGTTGCTGCAGCACCTTGTCTTGAGTTAACCAATTTCAATTATTCTGCAAGTTTTTAGCAGCAATCATTTTCATATCTCTTGCCATAGGATCCTCATTAATGTATACTGAAGAAAAATGGTTATATAAAGTTTCTGCCTTTTCGTGGTCTTCATTAGCTAACAGACCCATCTCTGTTTTCTGTTTACCTACACTTTTATTTTTTTGATTTTTTAGAATTGAGGTACTTGAAAAGAAATTTGGGGTTGGTTTTGCATTCTTAGGCTATCAATTTCTTATTTTCTAGTTTAGCCACTTGAATTGCCTTTTTGCAAGCATTATTGGCTTCCTTATATCTTATATAGGATGCATCTCATTTGTCCGATTTAAATGCCTTTTTCTTATTTTTAATTTCTTGTTTAACTAAGCCACGTTGGTTTCAATCTGTTTCTTTTATATTTATTACCCAATGGTACATACTGAGAAATGTACCTTTCTAATATTTGTTTGAATAGTTTCTATCTGCATATTTTCAGGAGCTGTAGAACAGTGATGGTATCGCTAATGTATGAGTTAGTTTTTCAGACTATTGGTTGTAGGTCTATATATTCAGATATCCTGGCAATGTCTCCCTGGTGGGATATTTATATCTTTATGTATTTTAGTCAAGAAATAAAATGCTGGAGTTTTGTTTGATATAAAGATAATTATACTTTTTGTTATAAATTTTAAAATGTATTTAAGTATACCTTTATCTAAAAATTATTTGTATTATGCTATCATATCCCCCTGAGGTACTGTTTCTCCAAGCTGAAGAGATTTAAATGTATCTTCAGAACTAAAATGTTCCATTCATTTTATTAATTTTGTAGCGTTTTTTTTTATTTTTCTAATCAAATTTTATAGATGTACTACATTCTTGACCCACAAAGGAAAGCACTGCTTAAACAAAAGAGAAGCAAGGAGATGATGCAATAACAGTTATATAAGCACAGTTTTGCTTTAGGCAGAATATTAAATCTGCCCGGCTTACACGTGTTATGATTAGGGAATGTTTTCACTTATTGAGTCTATGGATAGGATAAAGCTGTAAAGCCTTATAGCTGTCAAATCATGACATTAATGCCTGATCTTCCATTAGTAAAATACTGACCAACAACAAAAACAATAATCCTACATGATGTGGGGAGACAGTGAATATGTTTAAAATAATATTCAGGCGGAAAAAAAGGGAAGAGAGAGAGAACAGGTTAAAACATTCAGGGAAACCTCCCACAGTCTGCTATAGGTTTTAGATAAATAACAGCTTCTTTTTTTTTTTTTTTTTTTGCTTTTCTTTTTATATAAAATCATCCTGAAAACCGGACTGACGTAATTTCATATCGGAAGTAATTAAAATACCTCTTCCCATCTTAAGTTGGACTTTTATTTTTACCAGTATGACATAGTGGGACATTTTTTAGTTTCTTTCAATAGTTATTTTAACTGCTGTTGGTGAATGTACTAATATTTTTAGACAGTTCTTGTTGAAATGTGGCATGTTAAGATGTAAGAGCAACATTTTAGGTCTAAAGACTAAAATCTGGCTCATCAGTTTATTAACTCCATAATGCCATTACGCCCATCCCACATTTAATGTGCTTTAAAGCCATTGTGGCGGCATAAAATGCTTTAACGGCTTTGAGCCCAGGAGCCTCAGGAATATTTACCTTAGTTTTCCCGCATTTAGGCAGTTATTTTCAGCTATTGCAACCATGTGATCAGCTATTAACTCCATAATGCCATTACGCCCATCCCACATTTAATGTTGTGGCGGCATAAAATGCTTTAACGGGAGCCTCAGGAATATTTTCCTTCCCGGCGCTCCACTTCAGGGGAACTGTGTGACAACCAAGGCAGTCCTCCTCTGATTAATATAAGCCATCGAGGGCCATCTGATCACTCTCACAGAGCGATCACATGGTTGCAATAGCTGTAAATAACTGCCTAAATGCTGGAAAAAAAAAAAAAAAGGCAAAAACAACTAATTGTTAAAGTTATATATAAAAAAGGACACAAATCTTGCACTCCATAATCCACTCCAATACTTGCCCAGTACTTGCCAGGCCACAATATAAAAAGAAAATCCAGATAGCGCCCCAGGTCTTGATAAAAATAAAACGTAGCTTTAAATTTGCCTTACATAAAAAATAACAAAGTTTCAGTTTGATATGTACAAACTTTAATAAGGACTTGCATAACCAACCCCCTACTCCCACCCCATATATACCCAACTACATACAAACTCTTACCCTGTCTAGTGGTGCCGTCACGTCCAAGGATGCCCAGACCGGGACTCGCTTGAGTTATGCTGACGTCATTGGGTAACTACGCAGCCTCATCACGCGAGTCATTGTCATTACGTCATCACGCAAAATCCCGTTCCATAATGCCATGGGGACAGAACATACACAAACTGTGCTTATAATCAAATATAATCCATATTTAATTAAAAACAAAGAAACATGTCTTACATTGGCAGGCTCTTTGAAATGCCTACAAGATAACATAACAATTAATCTCTAGCATATGGCTGATGACAACTTAACCCATGATAATGGATCACAATTACCCGAAGAAACCAACTCTCAGACTCATAAGGTTGATACAAAAGACTCACCCAACCTTCATTAGTAGAAAGCAAGCCAAAAGAACTATACCAGGCTGCATGGCAGTATATCAAAAAAGAAAAGAGAAAAGGGGAAAAATCCCTTACATGTAACTATTCACTGTGACGGCCTCGCCCCCCGACCACAATCGCTGCTCCTAGTGCTCACTGAGTACTTCCAGCCCTCCACCAGACATCATCAGCACTCTAGTCCCCACTTCCAGCGTTACAGCTTGGTTGGGGGTCTCAAGCTTCCAGTGAGTAGACCTCTCCTCCAACAGAGTGTAGCAATATGCTCTTAAAAGAGCAAGTGGTTATAATCCCAGGGGAGTATAATGGTATAGCAATCCCCAGGGTAGATGCAGCCATTTCCCCC